AAAAAGGAAAAGAACACAAAAAGCCTAAAAGAACTTTAACTAATGATATTCTTTGTAATAATAATGAAATAACTGAACTAGATATTTCTAATGAAAGTGGTTGGGATAAATTGGAGATTAAAGATTGTCCGAACTTAACTACCCTAATTGCTGATAATTGTGAATTAGAAGAAATCAAAATTATTAATTGCCCTAACTTGAAAACTTTATCTTTTAGACAGAACAAACTTGAAAATATTGACCTAACAGGTTTACCTAACTTAGAGGGTTTGTATTGTTCGGGTAATAATTTGAAAACTATAGGTTTATCTAGTAATAAAAAGTTAAAACACTTAGTTTGTGATAATAATATGATTGGAGAATTAGAACTAAAACACTTAAAAAACTTAGAAAGTTTGTATTGTTTTAAGAATTTTTATTTAAGGGAGTTAGAACTTGATGGTTTAACTAGTTTGAAAGAATTATATTGTGCTAACTCTCAACTTTCTGACTTAGAACTTGATGGGTGTCGAGAATTAGAAATTTTGGATTGTGCTGAAAATTATTTAATGAGATTAACAATTTCTGATAAACCAAAACTTAAAGTTGTTTCTTGTAAAGAGAATAATTTCGGAAAGTTAACTATTGCTGACTGTCCTAATTTAAAATTTTTAGATTTTTCAACGTTAAACAACCTTTCGCCTGCTAGATTAAATATTGATAACTCAAATTCTCTTGAAAAAGTTTTTCATGATAAAAGCACTATTGTTCCTGACTGAAAGACTTATCCTAATTTAGAGTTATTAAGAATAGGAGAGTCCGTGAAAGTTGAGAGGGATGGTATGATAGGAGAGGCATATTTTTATGAGGAAACCGACTTTATAGCCCTTAGAAACATTGAAAAAATAGAAAACATTCTCAATAATCCTAATGATTATTCCCTTGCAGATTTATTAAAACTAGGAAGAAAAGAATTGTATGGCGTTCCTACTGATTTGAGAGAAAAATTAGTTAAATTAGCACAACAAAAATCTGAAGAAGAAATTAAGAGAAAGTTCACTCCTTATCAATCACCACCATCTTCACCGCCGCCTTTGGAAAAAGATAATTCGCCAAGTGAAGAAGAAACCCCACTTGATACTCCTAAGGAAATACCAACACCAAAGGATAATAATGAAAATAAAGACCAAACTATTCTTGCTTTACAACAGAAAATTACTGAGTTAGAAAATAAGATAAAAGATTTAGAGA